GGTCGTTGAACTGAGGCCTGCGGCAGCAACGCTGGCGAAATTCATTTTCTGCTGCTGCTGTTGAGCCGCTGCCTTCTGTGCCCATACATTAGGCGTTGCGAACGGAGAATATTCGGCAACGCTGTCGCCTGCTGATGCCATAGTGTTCACGGATGACTTCTCAGTCGCCTGTGAGTACTGGTACTTGATACTTGATACAGCATCGTTCTCGATGGAAGATAAACACCCTCCAGCACTTGGGGTGGATCTGGCCGAACCTTTGGAACTATCCGCACCGCAAACACCGTGGACGCCGACAGAGCTGGAATTTGGTACCCACAAGCTGATTTCAGGAAACGAGCTAGACTTGTCCGTCTTGGCAGAACTGAGGAGCTTAAGGTGCGACGTACCACACTGCGTGGCTGAACGCGACTGTGCATACGCCTCTAGAGCCCGACGGTCCTTCGACTTCACTTTTATTATGATGTCCCGCACGAGCGCATCAGGTTCGTTGATCAGTCCATTTATCATCAGCACGGCTTGCTTGATTGCGTCCAAGGAACCTCTGAAAATAGAAGAAAAGACTTACAGCAATCGAAAACAATGTGAAGATCTACTGGAACGTAAAAATTCAAACTAAGCTACGCAACTGACAGTAAATTCGTTTACTTTTCTCTTTCATCGTTCACTATTCTTTTCAGATTGCAGGGCCAACAACTTCTGCTGATATTTACTCTACGCGATTTAACAGATTCAGATGATATAATTTGCCAGGTATTCGCGAAAACGTAATCATGTTGCACCGCATCTGTTGCCCGAAAACATGTCCAACTTACCATCAGGGATCATGACAAATGAACCAAACCGAAGGTATTTTGAGCCCATTGTTCCAGAACCTGTTGAGTCATCCCAAACCCATATACCCATCACTTGTATTTTGCATTATACTGAGTTAATACACACAGTACGTCTAATCGCAAGGGTAGCTATATAAAACAGACCTGATGATAAACAGCTTCTCACGACTGTCATTCCCAACTTTCTTCAGCGCTACAGATCCACTCAGCTTCCGGATTAAAAAACGAATTATAATGCGAAGCACATAAGTCTTTACACATTTCGATGCATATATGGTAGCAGAATATTGAAAGAAAGGAAGCGATTCAGGATTTTCACGTAAGAAAGGAGGTACCTTCCAAAGAGTAGTGAGGAGACAAAACTCAACAAGCTTCGATATGCAAGTCGAAGTAAGCAGCCTGGTGAGCTGTGCATTCTTCAGATTGACAGATCACAACTATGATGATATAGGTGTTTAAGGAGAAACTGAAAAATGCAATCTCTTGAAAAACTCACACGCAATCCTACTGGTCATGGGAATTTAGCGGAATCTGGAGGAAAACACTTTTAGTCTTCTCTTCTCGACCTCAACGGAATGAAATAAATAAACAAAACAATAGACTGAATTAAAGTATAAGAAGATTTCCACTCCATCTCTTCAACAGCGTAACAAAAGAACGGACAAAGGTGCCAATACGACTCATCGAGCTTTACCTTATGGTAATCAGGCGATCTGTCTGACCTTTCTGCTGTTTCTCGACTTCAATATGAGCTCCGCTAGATTCACGAATGGCGTTGATATTCTGGCCACCGCGTCCGATGACTCGAGCGATCGCTTGGGCAGCAACCAAGATTTTGTGAGGCTGTCGTTTGACTTCGCGCCACGTCGAAGTGTTTTCATCTAAACGACGTGCGGAAGAGCGGTTTTTGCTGCGGCTAATGGACGTGGTCGAAGAAGCGTTGGTCACAGATGCCAGGTGGCGCTGACCAGATTTCTCGAACACTTCACTTTCAGTCCTGCTGCAAAAAAGCTAATCTTCGAAACAAAACAAAAAAAACATTCATAGCATAGCGAGCAATATACCATAATGACACATCAGAACAATAAATCATTAAATGAAATATTAGATGATATCTGCATGCGGTGCCATTCGCAAATGATTTCGTTACATTTTAGGATATTTCATG